TTATGTTTTTTTTTTAATAAGCTTATAAAATATATCTTTCAGTATATCTTATTTAAAAAGTACTTAATTCATATAAAAAACATAATCAATCTATTTAAATTTATATTCAAAAATATTAAATAAAGAAAATTTAATTTATAACATATTATATATTTTTAATAAATATGGTTATAAGATATATTTTTTTATATTATATAAATTATTAAAATTCTATTTTTATTGTATCTTATTTATATTTTGCTTAAACTATATATATTTCATTTATTTCATATTCTAATATTAAAACAATAGTTTTTAATTTTTTATATTAATTTTTAAATATAAAAGTAATTATAATCTAATATTTCATTTGTATGAAATAATATTTATTTTTTAAAATAAAAATATATTATAACATATTAATATTATAAAAAAAATTCAAAAATATATTAAAAAATATCAAATACAAATATAAAATTATAGTATTTTTAGATAATAATAATTTTTTTTTAATATTTAAAATAATTTAAATAAAATTCAATTATTATATTTTAAAATATATACTTTATATAATTATTTAATGAAATTAAATTAAATAAAAAATAAAAATATTATATAATTATATTAAAAATAAAATTATTTATTATATATACAAATTTATATATATACATATATATATATTATTATAATAAAAGTTATTATGGATATTTTAATATATATTTTTATATAAACATAATAAAATTGTTTCTATATATACATTTATTTATTATATAAAAAATATAAATGGATATTTATTATTATTAATTAAATAAAATAAAAAAAATATGTAAAAAAGCACAAATTTTGATATTGAAAAAGAATACTAAAAATACAAAAACGTATTAAAAGGAGCAAAAAAAGGAGAAGTAGTAACCCGTTTTCCTCCCGAACCATCTGGTTATTTACATATTGGACACGCAAAAGCAGTATTGATAAATTACCATTACTCAAAAATATATGAAGGTAAGATGATTTTTCGTTTCGATGATACTAATGTTGAAAAAGAAAAAGTAAATAAAATAATTATTTATTTAATAAAAAAAAAAAAAATTATTAAATTAATATTAGGAAGAATATGTATAATCAATTATTGATGATTTAAAAACTCTAGGAGTATAATGGACAGGTGAAATAACTCATACTTCAGATTATTTCGATTATTTAATTGAAAAAGCAGAAGAATTGATAAAGAAAGGACTTGCATATTGCGATAATACGCCACAAGAAATAATGAGAGATGAAAGATTTAAATGTATTGAATCGAAAAACAGAAATACACCTCCAGAAGAAAATCTTAAAATTTTTAGAGCTATGTGCAAAACTAATGCAGATATACACGATGCAGATAATTATTGTTTAAGAGGAAAAATTGATATGAAAAGTAAAAATGGAGCAATGAGGGATCCTGTATTTTACAGAGTAAATACGAAAGAACATCATCGTACTGGAACGAAATACAGAGTAAAAAAAAATATATATATATATATATATAAATATATAAATATATATATATATATATATATATTTATATATATATATATTTTTTTATTATTTCTATTTAGTGTTATCCAACATATGATTTTTGTTGTCCTTTAGTTGATAGTATTGAAGGAGTAACTCATGCAATGAGAACTAATGAATATTCAGATAGAATTGAATAATATTCCTGGGTTATTAAAAATTGCGATGTTAGACCTGTTTAGATATGGGAATTTTCTAGACTTAATTTTGCACACACTTTTCTTTCTAAAAGAAAATTAACTGAGTTTGTTTTATCTGGTAAGGTCGATGGTTGGGATGATCCTCGTTTCCCTACTGTTAAGGGTATTTTGAGAAAAGGTTTAACTGTGGAAGCTTTGACAGAGTTTATGCTTATGTAGGGTCCTTCTAAGAATACTAATTTAATGGAATGGGATAAGATTTGGGCTATTAATAAGTAATTTATAGATCCTATTTCAGGAAGATATACAGCTATTGCTGCTAAAACTGCATGTAAGGCTATTGTTGTTAATGGACCTGAAACTGAAGAAAGCTTTGAAGTTGCTTTACATCCTAAAAATGCTGAAATGGGAAATAAATAGATTTTTAAGTCTAAGGATTTGTTAATTGAATATGATGATGCAAAACTTTTAAAAGTAGATTAAATTGTTACTTTTATGAAATGGGGAAATATGAAAGTATTAGATATCTAAGAAAATTAAGAAGGTACTTTAAAATTATTACTTGAATATTTACCTGATAATAAAGACTTTAAAAATACTATTAAAGTTAATTGGTTAGCTAATTCTTAATTAGTACATTATTTTTAATATAAATATTTATAATATATATATATATATATATATATTTATATATATATATATATATGAATATATATGAACTAGACTCAAGTTTTACTTGTTGAGTATGATCATTTACTTAAAAATGATAAAGTACTTGAAAATGTACCTTTTGAAGAATAATTAAATGAAACTACTAAATATGTTACTGATGCTATTGGTGAACCTTTGTTAAAAAATCTTATTAAAGGTATTTTTTATATATATGTATTTTTAATTATATTATAATAAAGGTTAATATATTTAGTTAGAAAGAAGAGGTTATTTCAAAGTTGATAAAATCCATGATAATCAAAATGGAGATAAAGTTATTGAAATTATATTTGTTCCTGATGGAAAGTCTAAAGGAATGTCGACAATATCTAAAAATGTAATATTTTGGTTTTTATTATTTATATAATATTGTTTTATTTGTAATTTAGGTAGCAAATAGATGATGAGGTAAAGAGAGATTTTTTTCTACTTTATTTAAAAATATTATGTTTATTTTATTTAAGGTTTATATTTTTATAATTTTTTATTTAAATATATGATTAGTATTTTTTTAATTTATTCATTTTATATTTAATATAATTATTATTCTCTATAATTAATATAAAATTAATTATTTATTTAAGTTTTAATAATATATATATATTTTTTTTTTTAAAAAAAAAATATTTTATAAAAAAATTTAAATATTAAAAAAAAAAAGATATATTAAAAAAAAAAATTTAAATATTAAATTTTAATAATAATAAAATATAAATATAACATTAAAACAAAAATGAATATAGTTCCAGATACATAATATAACGAAGGAATTGTATTATCCTAGACAAACTCAAACCAATTAAAAATAATAAACGAAATTCTCCAAAAAGACCCACAAACTGAAACTATTGACCCTTAATAATCATAAACTGAATTCATTTAAATTTAAGATGCTTCTTTAAATATTTAATAAATTGAAAATAATATTCCATAAAATTCCTAAAATATAGAAAATATTTACCAAAACATGCCCTAAGAGCCATAATAATAATCAGAAAAATAAATTATAAATATATACTAATAAGCATAATAAGGTAATTTATGGCCTTGGATGTATGCTATAGAAAAAGGGTTTTAAGATTAAAATACATTAGATGATAAAGGACAGCATTTAATTCATAGGGCAATTAGTTAAGGGAATATAGAAATAATAGTATGTTTGATTGAAATATACAATGTAGAAGTTGATATTAGAACTAGAAATAATAAATAAACTGGTCTAATGTTTGCTGCCAATCATGGAGATATTCGAATCGTGAAATATTTATTGGAAAAAGGGGCCGATATAAATGCGAAGGATATTAATAGTTATTGTCCTCTTTTATATGCAGTGACTCAAAGGAATAGAATTTTGGCTATGTATTTGATAGGAAAAGGGGCAAATATAGAAAGCATAGACTTAAATGGGTGTAATATGGCACATTGGGCAGCCTATAATAATGATCTGTTTTTTTTGAAGATTATATTTGGCATTTAAAAGGATATTTTATTCGAAAACGATAATTAGAACTTAAGTCCATTTGCCAGGGCGATCACTAATGACTCTTTTGATGCTATTAAGTATATTTTGGAGCTAAAACCACATAAATATATAACTAATTAAGGTGATTTTTCATCAGTGGAAAATAGACTTACTCGAAAAATATTGAAAGATATATAAAATAAGTTAAATAATAAATTCCTTAGTTATTATTATTTTATTGATTTATATAAATAGAAAAGTTAAGATATGTGTATTTTAATGTACTCTTTTTTATTGGAATTTTATATTATTGCTTTGTGATGTAAATTGGAGTTATTTATTATAAAAATTAGTTTGTATATAATTTTTGCAATTTAGTACATTTTTTGGTTATTTTTTTGATTAGTTTTGTATTTTATTTCGTTTATAAAAGCAAGTGTCCCTCCATTTAATATAAATTGGAGTTTAAAAGGGAATAATAATGAGTTTTTTGATTAAAATCAATTAGATTTTGATAAAGTTAATTTTGAGTTTTTGGATAAAATATTTTTAGGGGAATAGAGTTAATAATTAGGAAAGGGGAAAAATAGGAAAAGAGAAAAGTTAAATATTTTCGATTAGGTGTTAGTTTTGGTAGAAAATAATATGTTTGAAATTTTAAGCCTTTTAAATGAGAGAAATATATGTCCAGATTGCTTATGTGTGAAAGAAAAAAGAAGCTAACATTCAGATAAATTAGGTATTTGTGTACCTTTATATTCACATTATAGTGATGTTTTTGACAAGTGTATAGTAAGAAAGGCTAATTAGGTGAATTATTTTATTATTTTGGCTGTATAGGAGTTTTTGTTGGTGTCTTTTTATTTTGTTAATTTGATTTATTGTGAGGCTAGGTTTAAAATGGAGTCTTCTGTTTTTTTAGCGGTCTTTGAAATACCTTATTTATTTTTTATGAATGAATGTTGGTAATTTTTCGGATGTTATCTTTTGTTTTTAGTTTTAATATATTTAAGTAGTTTATTCTTTTTTTTGGAAACTTTTTGTATTTTTAGTAATCTTACAAGATTCGAATTGTTAAATGTAGAAAGTTGTGATTATTTCTTCCCGTAAAAAAACATTAATTAAGTAGTGTAAAATGCATATGGAAGAGATTCTGGTTTAATTTATTTTAAAGGATTTTCTAATGTTTATAATTAAAATTGTTTTAAATCTTGTTAGGATTATTTTTCTTGAATTTTTTTATTTTTAATATTAATAAGATGTTTTTATATATATTTATTAGTATTTTTTTTATTATAAAAAAAGTAATAATATTTAGTATAAAAAAAAATACTATAAATTTTCTTTAGAATTTTACAAATAAAATTATATATATACTTACTTCATTTTTTTTATTTTTATAGTTAAAAAAATTAAATTGAAATTATAAAAACTTTTTATTTTTATATATATTTTATATATATAAAATTTCATATTTTTTAAATTTTGAATATTATTTAATTTTTTTATTTATTTTTTTCACCAAATTTATTTACTCTAAAAAACTTAAAATAAATAATATAAAAATTAAAAATTTTATTATTATTATATAATTTAATTTAAATATTTGTATCAAAGCAGGTTTTCTAAATTAAGCGTATTATTACTTAATGTAAATTTTCTTTATACTTTCAGAGGTTCTTTAACTCATATGACAATAATTATGTTCCAAAAATATTATAAGCAAGCTTTTTTTTCAGTTTATTAGATATTTCATATTTATTATGAAAAATAAATAAATGAATAGAAATATATATATTTTTTTTTCTTGTTTTTATTTTTTTTCATTTTTTTAGATATTTTTTTAAACATCTTTAAATTCTTTTTTGTATTAGTTTTCAGTTATTTCAAAATTTTAGCTTTTTTCTTGCTATTTACGTTTATATATATTTATATTTATATTTATATTTATTAATCTAATTATTAATTTTAGACTTGTAATTTTTATATCATCTTTCTTTTATTATATATATTTCGAATAAAATCGGTATTTACTATTATTAAATGCAATATAAATACACCTTCTTTATCTTTTTTTTTATACATTTTAAACTTTTATTATTGTATTGATTATTTTAGAAATATGTTTGTGAATAATTATCCTAAATTGCTATTTGAAGCTCGAGAAATTAACTGTTTTTAAATTCTTTAATATTTTTGGTTATATAGTATTTTTTTGGATATAAAAATAAGAATTATTTTATTTATTAATTATGTTTCAAATAAAATTAATAATGAAAAATTTATATTTATTTATTTATAATATTAAAGTTTTATTATAAATTTGTATTATATTTTAATTTCATTAATAATAAGTTTAAAAAAAAAAATTAGAATTACAAAAAAAAAACAAAAAAACAAAAAAACAAAAAAATAAATTATGATTAAAAAATGAAACAATAAAAAAAAATTAAATTAATAAATATAAAATATATATATATTTAATTTATTTATTTATTGAAACGAAAAATAATAAAATAAAAAATATGTCATAAACAATCAATAATAATAATGAAATTGAAAAAGTCCTTTAAATGTTCGAATCACCATATACCGAACAACTTCCAGACCGAAAAGCAAATGCCATAATTCGTTTTTGTCGTGAAAGAAAAGAAGGATTTTTTTATGAAGAAATCGAATCAATATGCAAAATGGTCGATTATGCGATTTAAGATTTGAAAAGTGGATATTCAGAAATGACTTTAGCCATATAAAAAATATGCGAAGTTGGAGGAATTCCTTTTAAAAAATCCAAAGCAAGTGATGAGTTAAAATATGTGCCTATTTTACCTAAATTTATTAATTGTTTTAGGTATTTTTAAAAACAATCATAATAATATTAATTTTTTTTATAATTAAAAAGGCCTCTTCTTTTCAATACATATAAACAATAAAATATAATAATAAATGAAGAAGTTACTTAAAATTTAAGATATTATACAATTTCATTTTTACGTAATTTTTCAGATGAAGAAATAGATTAAATAGTACAAGCCGAAAGTAAACACATATATATATATATATATATATATATATATATATATATATATATATATATATATAATTATATATACATTAACTAATATACAAAGAAAATTTCGAAAAAACCAAAATGTAAGGATATGAATAATCTCCTTTATAGAAATTATTAACTGAAGGTTCTAAAAATTTACGTGCAATAAATAAATCTGAAATAATAGAAGATATAATATATACAATGTAATACTATTAAAATAATTATGAGTATTTACTTCCTTTATTAGATTTAATATCTAACTGTATTATGTTTAGAGAATTAGCCTAGAAATTTTGCAATTTTGGAATTTTAAAAGACATTATTTACGTTATATTTAATTGTGATGATTTTCGATCTTATATTGTTAAAAGTTGTTTCGAAATAATTTGGAATGCTATAGAGGCTGTAGGAATTACAAGTATATAACTATTTGCAGCTGAAGATATTATTACTCAATTAAAAAGGGTGTTTGAAAATTTAATGAGAAACGGATATAAATTAGAAGATAAATGCTTAAGAAATGAACTTTTGATTTTAATTAATTATCTTTTAAGCGATGAGGTAGCTCTTTAATATTTTGATGAGAAAAACACTATGCTAGGGGCTAATTAACCGACTACTTTTATTGATACACTTCTTGTATATGCTACTGTAGATGAAATTGAGTTCTATAATGATAAAATACTTACCAATAATCATAGAGCATTTTATTCAACTACTAGTGAAGATTTGGAATTCAAAAAGCTGATTTGGAGTGGATTATTAACTGCTATTTAATCAGGAAATAAATCTATTTTGGAAACTATTAAAGATGTAATGATTTTTTTATTTTATGGAATTTTTTATATATATATATATTTATATAATTAGAGTGCTTTTGTATATTCACTTTTACTATATATTGACCCCTTAAACGATAGTTATGCAGTAAACAGATGGTCTAACCCTTAATTAAAAGAAATTTAAATACATTGTTTAAGCATTTTAGCTAGTGTTATTATATATATGAAAGAAGAGTAAATTTATAAAAAAAAATATTATTAAATAAACATAAAAAATATGCATATATATATATATATATATATATATATATATATATATATATATTTATATATTTATTATTAATAGTTTTGCTGAGAAAAATGGTTTGTTTTATTTGACAAAGTTTCTTACAAATTAAGATGATCCTGAAAAACGTGAGAAATGTTTACGAGTATTTAATAATGCATCTTTATTTGATGAAAGCTATAAATTAAAAATCACTGATGAGGGTGTAATGGATAATTTAATAGAATTTCTACAAAATGAAAATGAAAATCCATTAGATATAAAAGAATTATGTTTTTCCATTATATCGAACTTATGTATAAATTGTAATAAAAATAAGAAACTTTTTAGATAAAAAGGAGGAGTAGATATGATTGTAGCCGCTTTAAAAGATCCGAATATTGGAATATCCGCTAGATATGCTCTCTATGCTGTTTCTATTTTAGATTGTTTATGGAATGCAATTTTAGGGAATAAAAAAAGTGAATCTGTATTTTTGGATAACGAGGGTTTATTTGTACTTTTAGAATTTTTAGAGTTTTGCGATGATATGCATAAGAAAATGGCTTTAAGTTGTTTATGTTTTTTGATTGAAAACAGTAAGTCTATTCCTTATTTTTGTGATTGGAATTCGGGAAAGACTATGATTAATGCTAGTTAGTTGTTAATTTAAATATATAATAAAGAAGATGCGAGATTCGGTGTAAAATATGAAGACGGAATTATTGTGAATAAAAATAGACCACTTTATCCTTTAACTGCTCCGAAAAAAAATAGGATTAATTTTAAATACTCGTCGAGGAATAAAAGAAACCTGATGATGGAGCGAATAAATAAAGAAAAATTAATACAGGAAAAGGGTTTGCGAGATTAAAAGAAGCACTTTCAGCAGCTGATAATGAATCAGATGCAGGAACTGAAGCTTATTTGGCAAGAAAAATCAAATAGAAAGTGGAATAATATGATTTAAGGGCTATTATTTTTGCAATTTTGTATAGGACGGGTTTTGATAAGAATGAATTGTTATATGATGAGAAATAAAAAATTGAAGTTATTTAAATGTATCCGAATTTTAAAATGGGAGAAATTTGGTTAGATATTTAATTTGAGTTGGAAGAAGAAGTATTTTTTATTATATATATATATATTTTTTTTTTATATATATATTTTTATATATATATTGTTTTTTCATTTATATTTTTTTTTATTTATTTATATAATTTTTTATATATATATTTTTTTTTATTATTTTATTTAATATTTTATGTTTTTATTATTTTTTATATATAAAAAAGGGAATAAAATCCACTTCAGATGATTATCATTGGATGAAAACTTCAATTGAAGAATTTTAGGAATTAATAATTAATTGTATTAATACTTAAACTCTGGTAAATAATATTTTTTTTTCTTATTATATTTATTTTATACATATTTCTTTTTTTTTTTTAAAAAAAAAATAGATTTCGAAAGAACATAAAAAATAATAAGAAGAAGATTTAAATAAATTTTATGATATTTTAAGAAGTAATAAAGTACATAAATGAATAAAATAGAATACATATTATTATATATATATTTGTCTTTTTTAAAATTATTATATAATTATATAATTTTTTTTTCTATTTTAAATTAAAATTATATTATACATAAAAAATAAATTATGGTTTATAAATATATAGTAAGTTAATAGATTATATATATATTTTTTTAATAAAATAATATAAATTTATATATTGTTATATCAATTCGTTTGTACTAAATTGGATTCTGATATAAATTCATTTTCATAATGATTTTAATTTTATTAATTAGTATTTTATTAGCTAGATTATTATTAGTTTGTATTTTATATTTATTATTATGTTTAATTTTATTACTATTTATTTGATTAAACAAGTTTAAATTTAAACTTTTAAAAAATTATATTTTCTTATTTATTATTTACTTCTTATATTTAATTATTTTCTGTTTATTATTCAGTATTTTTTTGTTATTTTAAATACTATTAATTATTTTATTCCTATTTTTAATTATTTTCTTGTTATTTATAATTATTTTCTTTTTAAATTTCTATATTTTTTTGATTAAGTACTTACTTCTAATAATCTTATTTATTTATTTCTATATTTTATTAATCTTCAGGTTTATTTTAATCATAAATTTCAAATTTATTTTAAGAACTTTAATTTATTTTTTCATTTATAATTTCTTTTTAAATTTTTTAAACTATTTGGTTTTACTGATAATTTTCTTGTTTTTTTTACGAAAGTTTATCCTTTTTTTCTATTTCTTTTTCACTATTTTCTAATTTATTTTGAAGTTTTTCTTCTTTGTTTTAAGAATAATTAACTTTTTAATAAGGATTTAAGTTAATTTGAAAACTTTTTGATATAAAAGAAGTTTTCTCTTAATGATCTTTTTTTTTAATTGAATGAAATTCTTCCGAAATTTCTATTTTTTCATTTTTGAATTTTTCTGTTTCATCTATTTCTTTTTAAGTTTTTTAAATTTAAAAATTTTTGTGTTAAATTTGACTTTTTAAGACTTAAATTTACATACAAATTTAATTAATTTAAAAATCATATTATTTTTGTAATATTTCGTTATATTTTTTACATTTATCAGCTTTTTTTTACAATTAATCAACTTTTTATTCTTAATTTTATATATTATTTTAAGGAACTTCCTTTTATTTGATAGCCAGTATTTCTTTTAAAGATTAATTTTTAGGTTTTAATTAATTTTCTAAGACAGAATTTAATTTAGAAAATTTTAAAGAAAGTTAAACATTTTTCCGTTTAATCAATTATAGACTTTCATTCATTTCGAGTAGTCTTTTGAAAATATTTTTATTCGAATTTTATTTACTTATAAGGGTAGATTGTATTAAATTTTTAGTATTAAAATGCTTAATATCCATTTTTATTTTTTCTAAAATAATTTAACTGGCGCTTATTTAGTCGTTTAATTCAATTATAAATTATGGATTTTAAATTTAGTTTATTCTCTATTCTAGTTTTTTATATTCTTAATGAAGATTTTCTATTTATTTGTTATTTTGGGAAATTAGGTCTTAGTTTATTAATAAAGGTAAAATTTAAGATGGTTTTTGGGAATAAGAAGATAGTTTTTCTTTTAATTTTTTTATTTTTTATTCTAAAATTTAGTTTTCTTTTTATACAGATTCTTTGGTTATAATACGGTTTTTAAAAGATGATTACTTTTGAGTTAATTATGGGGATGATTTTATATTAAATTATGAGTTCTATAAAATGTTAAAGGATTAAGAGTTTTTTTAATTTTTTTTTTTATTGGATTTTTTAATTCTTTATTTTTTGTTTATTTTATTATGTTTTATAATACTTTCGTGTTTTATTTTATTTGATATTATTTATTTTTATTTAATATTTATTAATTATCATATTTTTCTTCTTATTCTTGAGTATCATATATATATTTATAATCATCTTCTTCTTATTCTTATTGAATAAATTTTTATTTTACTTTAATTTTATCTTCTTCTTATTGACGATCTTACATTTATTATTCTTCTATATCGTCATAATCTTATTAGTACTCTTCTTCTTATTATTACTAGTTTACTTGATATTTATCTTCCTATTGTTAATCTTAACTTAGTTATTCTTAATTATTATTATTTTAATTATTATCTTCATTTTCAAATGAAAATGAATAACTACTTTATTCTTAAGGGTTTTCTTCTTTTTTTGTTTATGAGTTTTATTAATTTAAATCTTCTTTTTAATTATTATATTATATTTATTAATTATCATCATCTGATAATTGTTCTAAATCTTCATTTTAATCTGTATTATAAATACTTTATTAATTGCTTTAATTTATGTTATATTAAGAAACTTAATTTTTAGTTTATTTTTAAATATTATTGTAGCTTTTTTGTTCATTTATTTAAATTTAAATATTTATATCATCTTCTATTATTTCGAATTCATTTTCATCATCATTATATTTTTAGATATTTTAAATTTAATGATTTGTAGTTATTTTTATATTTTATTAAACTTGTTAAACATCTTCATCATCAATAATATCTTCATAATCATCATTATAATAATTATTCATTAATATTAATATTTTTATAATAAATATAAAAAATAAAACAAATAAAAAAAAATAAAAAAAAAAATATAATACAGATATATATATATATATATATATATATATATATATATATATATATATATATATATGTATATTTATAATATATTTATAATCTTTAATATTACATAATATATAAAACTTTAATTATTAAATTTATTATCTTTAATTTAAAAATAAAATATGTAAAGTTAAATAATTATTTATCCAGAAAAAGTTACTAATACTACAATAGATGAAGATTTAATATGCCCAATATGCAATTTAATAATATAATGTCCTATAAGTTGTAATATTTGTAAATTACATTTATGCAAGCCTTGTTTAAATTAATGGTTGTAATAAAATAAAAGTACATGTCCTATTGCAGGTATTTATAAAGAAAAACATGATATATATAAAAATAAATAAATATATATATCTATATATATTTATATATAATTGTTAATATATTTTAATATTAATTTATATACAAATAAATATATATATACATAAAAATAATAATACTTATACTTAGAATTTATATATTTCGATATATAAATATTTATATTTAAAGGCTGCTCTGATTTCGAAGAAGAAAAAGCACACCCATATTTTTACAAACATTTATCCGTTTTAAAAATAAAATGTTAAAATGACAATTGTCCTGAAATTTTAAATTACGAAGTTTATTAAAAACATATATTAAATGAATGTCTTTATCTATATATCAATTGCCCTAATAATAATTGCAACTAGTCAGTTTTAAGAAAAGATCTTGATTTACATATTTCTGAGTGTCCATTTGAATAGATATTTTGCTAGTTTTGTAATGATTCTCTTATAAGGTAAAATATAGATGAACATAATTCTTTAATATGTCCTGAAATTAATATATAATGCCCTTTTGCGGAATGTTAGGATTAAATAAAAAGAAAAGATATGGATAATCACTAACTAAGTTGCCTATATAAGATTTTAAAATGCTCAGAATGTGATAAAGATTATATTTAAAAATATTCAGATTTACATTAAGATAATTGTTCGGAGAAAAAATAATTTGCGAAGGATGCTAGGGTTAATTTATAAAATTAAATTTTAAAGAACATTTTTAGGAATGTAAATAAATAATAAGATAATGCGAAAAATGTGGTTTTAGTGAAAAAAAAGATAAATTCGAAGAAGAGCATTTTGATGAGATTTCTTGTATAAAAAAGATTATGTAAAAAATAAAAGAGGAAAATAATTATTTAAAAGTAAAAAATGATGAATTATTAAAAAAATAAATAGAATAAGAATAATAAATAGAAGAAATTGAAAAAAAGATAAATGAAAAAAAATAAAAGGAAGAAAATTTTAACCAACTATAAGAAGAAATCGAAAGCGTTGAATTAAAAATAAAAGAAATTTTCGAATAATAAGGCTTTTTTGAACACATAAATAAAAAACATAATTGTGTTTTTGAAGATATAGATTCAGCTTTAAGACATTTTGAGTTTTTGTAGTTTTCAAGTATTTTATATTATCGATGGCATCATTTTCATTGTATTGATTGTATGAATTTTGTAAAAAGGTTAAGTAAGTTAATTGAAGTACATGTTTTAAGACTTAAAAATCTAAATATGATAAAATATTAAAAATGATTATATTTTTTTTTCTAATTATGTTAATTAAAATTATATTTATAAATATATATAGTTTATTATAAATTTTGTATAATTAAATAATAATAATATTAAATAATTAAATAAAAATTTTAGTATAAATAATTATTCAAATATATATATATTTATATATATATATATATATATATATAAATATATATTTATAAAATAATAAATATCGATATAATATATTTTTATAATATATTTATATCGATATTTATATTTATATTTATAATTATAATTACTTTAAAAATATTTTTTAATGAAAAAATTACATATTATCATTATATGGAATTAAGACAATTTAAAGTATTAAATTATCTTCTTTTGCCGAAATATATTATTTTTATCTATAAATTTATACGTAATTTTTTTATCTAAGCATGTTTTTTAAATTTTCAATGTTTAAAATTTTACTATTAATTTGTTTTTATAATTTATCTAAATTATCATAAAATTTAACTGTGAAGGTATTTCTTGTTTTCGTCTTTTTATTTTTAAATAATATTTTTTTTTTTTATTTAACTTATTTTTTGGTTTTTTATTTTTTATTTTCATTAATATATATTTTCTTATATATATATATTTTTAAAGGCTTTTTTATTTTTTAAAATTAATATTTTTTTTTAATTTGATATAAATAATTTTTTTTTTTATTTCTTACTTTGATTATATTTGAAACATAATTAAATAGAATATTATTAAATAAATAATTAATTTTAAAATATAAATATATTTATTATTATTAAAATTGTTAATTTATTTGTTAATTATTTATTATTTAATATAATAATATAATGTATAATTATAATTTTACTTATAAAAAATTAATTTATATAAGAATCAAATAGGTAAATATAGTTATTAAATATAAAAATATATTTATTTTTATATTAAAATTATATAAAATTAAATTTAAAAAATATATATTTTATTTCATTTTCAATATATTTTTATTTTTTAATAAATTATAGTTAATAAATGAATTTAAATAAAAATAATTTTTATTGAGTAATGATTAAATAATAAAAATTAATATATTTTAAAAAAATTAGATAATTAAATTTTAATATTCCTAATTATTATTTAAAAATAATAATAAAAAACATAAATGATATAAATATTCATAAAATATAAATAAAGTAATATTTTTTTAAGTTAATATAAAAATATATTTTAATAGATATAAATAAAATACAATATAAATATTTTATTATATATAAATTATATATTTTATTTTTTAAATAAAAAAATATTATATTTTTATTGAAATTATTTAATTTCTTTTTATATTCATATTTTATAAATACATTTTTCTTTTAAGAATTTAATTTAAAAAAATATATAGTTTATATTTAAAACTCATCATAAATCTAAATTTTTTTTTTTATCTATATTTTTGAACATATTTATTAAATATAATTATTTATAAAAAATAAATCAAAATTTAAAATTTTGTATATATATATATTTTATATATATTTGTATATAAATAAATAATAATCCTACATAAAAAAAAACCAAAAAATATAAATAATTAATTTATTTATAAATAAAAAAATCTATCATTCATAATCATTCATATTTAAATTAATATTAGATAACTTGGCTTTAGTTTTATTATCCAAAATTTATGTAAGAATATCTTTAGTATACTTTAACCTTTTAGACATTTCCGTATTTTAATTCTCTAAAGCTGTAGCTAACGGATAATTACTTCTATTTCCTTTTTTATCTAGATAAGTGACCATCTTTTACTCACTAGATAATAATATTTCCGTTTTATCTACAAATGAGACTTAAACTATTTTATTTGAAAGCCTAAACATTATTGCATGTTTAGTTTTCATCCATTTTTTTACATATACGAAATTTTAAGTTTTCTAAAAATTTTCCATTTAATTATTTTGTTTTTGTTCTTTTAAATAATTCCTAAAAAGACTCAATAAAGTTACTTTCTTTTTAAGTTCAGGAGGGTATTCATCTAAATTAAATTGAATTACAGAGTCTTATTTTTCACTTTCGTATTTTCTTTCCATATATTCAATTTGGTTAGAGCTTGGATCAAGTATTATTTTAGTAGAATCATTAAAAAATACACCACTATGTCCATTAGATAGTATATATCCGAGCCCATATTTAGCAGAATAATCAACCCACTAGATTACCCAAACTTATTGTTCTTGTATATTTTCATTATTAGGGATTTTTTAATTACTTCCTATCCCATTTTTGGTAGATAAGAAGTTGTTTGTGCTTTATAAACATGCATAATTATTCATATTAGTGGATTTTGTCATGCTATTTTTCTTAAATTCACAACCTTAAGTAGAAAAAGGTTTGAATTCACTATTTGTTGGAATATTTTTTTAACTCTACTATCCATTTGTGGAAAGTCCCCAAATTTAATCACTGCAAGTATTAATTGAAGGTTTATTTATTTAGGTGGTACTTTAAGTTTTCAATCTATTATTATTGGAACTTTCGATTAATCTAACAGGCTATTAATTAACTTTTAAAGCATTTCCTTAAGGCAAAAATTGCTTAGTATATTAAATAGAAGGGGGACAATTTAAAGTAACTACAGGAAGTGTTTTAGGAATAGTTCCGTTATTATTCATAAATGGATGGAGGAGAATTTCATCTAAAGTAGGTCTTTTTAAAGGTTCTAGATTTAAGATTTTCACTATTAAATTTTTAGCATCATCTGATATGGGAATGTTTTCAGGAAATGAATAAGAATTTTGTCGAATTTTTTTATATGTAGCTTTAACATCAGGGGTTTCATAGGGAGGCTAAATATATATATATATATATATATATATATATATATATATATATATATATATATATATATATATATATATATATATATATATATATTTATATATATTTACCTTCCCGATTATTAATGTATATATTATAACTCCTAGGGACCATATATCTACTTGATATGAATGACCGGTTTTTCCTTCAAGAATTTCAGGAGCTATATAGTTTGGTGTGCCGCAGATTGTATTTTTTTTCTCGCCGTCAAATTCTAGTTTAGTAGCAAGACCGAAATCTCCAAGTTTGATTTCCATTTTGTCGTTTATAAAGAGATTCCCGAGTTTAAGGTCTCTATGAATGACTTTATTTTAATGTAAATATTTAAGACCGTTTATTATTTGAAGAAGATAACATTAAACTTCGAGTTCAGTTAATCTTTTACGTCTTTTAATTAGTTCATTTAAAGTATTATTTGTACATAATTCTAATAATATATAAACATTTTCATAATCTTCAAATACATGTTCGAATTGGACTACATGAAGGTGTTAGAGGCTTTTATGAATTTTAATTTCGGATATTAATTTTTAACGAGCACGAGTTTTTTATAACGTCTCTTTCGGGATTATTTTTGCTGCTTGGATTCGCTTGGATTCTAAATCGGTTACTTCATAGCATTTCGCAAAACCACCTTTTCCTAACATTTAGCCTCTTAGATATTTCTTTGTTTTTGTCTCGTTATTTGGACGTTAGATCTTTTCTTCTATAATTACTAATTAATTATTTTAATCTATGGGCTTTTCCATTTTGTTTGTTTTTTTTTATATTTATTTATTGCTATTTTTTTTTTTTTCTTTTTAAAGCTTTTTTTTTGTTTGGAATTTTATTCTTTTTTTTTTTAAATAAACAAGAAATAATTTATTATTATTTTTTTTTTTTTTTTCTATATTATTTTTTCTTTTTAAAAATAAATAAATAAATAAATAAACAAATTAAAAGAAATTATTATTATCTCTTTTGAAAAAAAAGTAAAAATATAAATATAAATAGATTTATTCTTGTTTTCTTATTTATTTGTTTTTTTAATTAGGAATTAAAAATAATAAATTTTAAAATTATGTTAAGACTAAAATTAAAATATTAAATACAAAGAATTAATTAATTATTAATAAAATATTAAGAAAAATGTAAATTTATTTATATATAAAAATTATTAAATTAAAGAAATGAAATTATATAGATTAGTATTAAATATTTAATTTTATTAAATAAAATAATTAATACAAAAATTATATTTCATTTTATTTATTTAATTCAAATAAAAAAAATTATAATATTTATAGTTTTTATATTATGAAAAGAAAAATTTTCATAAATAAATATATTGAAAAATTATTAAAATAAAAAAAAAGTGCATTTTAATAAGAAAATATTTAAAATTTAAATTATAATTAGTAAATAAAAAAATAAAAAATATTTAACATAAGTTTTTTTTTTTTGATAATATAAAAATTAATATTTATAAATAATATGAAAACAAAAATATATATAAATATTAATAAGTTTATAATATTAAAATTTTTTTATAATATTTATACTTTTATTTTATATAATTTTTATTTATTTTTATTTTAATACAAAAAATTGTATGATTAATATATATGTTAAAATATAAATAAATTAATTTTATTTACTATTAATAGTTAAAAATATTTATTTTTTATTAATATAAAATTTATATTTTTTATTTGAAAATATTTATTTAATAAAAATATATAATTTTAATAACAAAAAAAATAAATTTAATTCATTAAAATAAATGACAAATCTTTAATATATTTGTAAATAAATATATATTTAATTATATTATAATAAAAATAAATATTAATATTAAAAAATGATTTTTTATATTTAATCTTAATAAAAATAAAAAAATATATTAAATTAAAAATGGAATATTAAATAAATAACAACAAAGTATTTAAAGAAAAAATATATTAATGTGTATATATAAATAAATATACATATATTAATAAGGATAATAAAAAAAATGAATCATATAAATAAATTAGATTAATGCTTAAAAATAATAATTTTTACTTAAAAAAAAACTGGTATATATTTTAATAACTAATTATATATATAAATATATATATATATTATATTTACATTTAGAAATTAATGATAAGATTAATTATTTACTATTTAGTAAATTAATGATGAAGATTAATTCAACC